CGGACCCTAGCTCCCTACCAACCGCTGCAGAGCTCAGACTCCAGCGCCTTCAGGAGGGAAAACAAGGCGAGCTGTGGGTTAGCACCATGTTCTAATTATGGAAATGCACTCTCCAAACACAGCAGAACTCCGGGAGCTCACCGAGGCTACACAGCCATGAGGGTTACAGTCTGTCCAAGAAATAATCGCCTCCCTTCATCTCTGAGCTCTCCCAAAATCTGAGCGCTGAGCTCTAAACTGAACTAGGTTCCAACACTACAGATTTCAGGGCAGCTGTGTCTAGGCCCATTTCCTCACAGGAAATCTGAGTTTTGTCTGGGAAAAAAGATTAATAACTGGACTTCTGGTGCTATTTGGGAAATATTCATTAGACAGATTGTTTGCTTCAATTTACACAATAACCAAGGTACGGAATGTGCATGGATGGGTGGATGCACAGACTGGTGGGTGGGTGGATGGACAGACACTCATCAGACAAGTTGTTTGTTTCAATCTGCATGATAATCAAGGTATGGAATGTGCATGGATGACTGGGTGGATGGGTGGGTGGATGGATGGAAAGATGGATGGATGGAAAGATTGGTGGATGGATAGATGGATGGATGAATGGATGGATGGAAAGATGGATGGATGGATGGATGGATGAGTGGGTGGATGGATGAATGGATATACATTCATCAGAAAAGTTGTTTCAATTTACACAATAATCAAGGCATGGAATGTGCATGGATAGGTGGATGGATGGGATGGATGGCATGGATGGATGCACAGATGTGTGGGTGGTGGAGGGAAGGATGGATAAAGAAGATGTGGTACACATATACAACTGAATATTACTCATAAAAAATCATGGAATCAGGCCGAGGATTTAGCTCAGTGGTTTCACCGCCTGCTGCGCAAGCTCAAGGACCTGAATTTGATCCCCTGTACAAAAAAAAAAAAAAAAAATCATGGAATCCTGTCATTTGTGGCAACATGGATGAGACTGGAGGACATTATATTACATGACATAAGCCAGGCACAAAAAGATAAATGTCCTACTAGGAAGCTAACTAGCTGCTCTTATGGAAGCATAGAAAAGAAGAATGGCTACCAGAGGCCAGGACGGGTGGTGGAGAGAGGGTGGCTCATGGGAACTGGGTCCAGGTGGGTGGGGACGGCTTTACATGTTCTACAGCACAGTGGGGAGATGGTGGCTGACAACTGATTGTATTTTTTAAGTGGCTGCTGAAGAAGATTTTGAATGTGCTCAACAAAGAAATGATAAATGCCTGCAGTAAGGGGCATGCTGATTGCCCTGACTGATCACTGCTCACCCATACTGAAGTAAGTTTTCCCCATTTACCAGAGGGGGACACTGAGGCACAGAGAAATCAGTGACTTTCCCTAGCTGGTATGTTAGAACTGGGATTCACACCCAGCCATCAGAGTCCACATCTTTAACTCCTGGGATGCACCCACCGCCTGTAGCCCAGACTCTGTCAGCCTCGGAGGGGGAGAGTCTCATCATTTTTCAAGCTCCTTGGGCACACAGCAGCCTGACTGCCCTACCAGTCCCAGGCCCCTCCCAGCCACAATCATGGCCCTTTACCAAAAGGCTGCTCCAGCTGCTGAGGTACAGATGGCCCAGAGTCAGGGAGTAACGGAGTCAGCTTTTGTGGAAACTGGCCCTCCGCAGCCTGGAAACAGCAAACTCAATGCGTGAAACAGCACCCATTTGTCCCATCCCTGACACCTCCAGGCTGAGGCTGGATCGCTTCGAGGCCCATGCACATTCGAGCTCTGATCCAGGGCCTCACTGGAGCCAGAATGAAATAGGTCACATTTCATTCATAAAAGACGTGAGGAAAACAGACGATCGCTTCACGTTGGGAAGTAACACATTTCCCTAGGCCGAAAAGGATTTTGTTTCCAGAGTCTGAACATACAAAGGGACAACAGCCAGGTGCAATGCGGCAAGGGAATGTCTGAGCACCCTGACTCGTATGTCAGACCTGGACCTCACCCTCCGGCGATGGCCCTCGATGGCCAGAGCTTGCCCAGTGCCCTGCAGCTTCCTGAGTTTTGACCTCTGCTTCTGCCCTCCCACCCGCCCCAGCAAACCCAGAGAGTGATCCTCGAGCCGCTCCCACCTATCCCTGGCCCGAGCCTCCGGCCGGCCCACCCAAGCCTTCCACCTCTCTGCTCCCATAGGCGCCCCTGCTCCACCCACCTTTCAGTCACTCAGAATAGACAGCTTCCACTTGTTCACTATTTCCACAATCTCGAGTTTTTCTCTGGCCATTAAATAAAGCAAAACAAAGCATCTAGGACTGAGCAGAGAGCCCCGACAGTGAGGATCAATGCCCACAGACAAGGAGAGCATCCCGGCGGGTTAACATGGGGGCCTTAGCCCACCACCCCCCCGGTACCTGGCCTGACACGAGGCACCCCAGCCTCCCTAAGTCAGGAAATGGGCGTAAATAACACCTTGTACAGGGGCTGGGATCCACAACAGGAGAATGCGTGTGCAGGGTGAGCACAGGACCTGGCCCGAAGGCACACGAGAATTTAAATGAGTTGCATCAGTCACTGCAGCCTGGGTACTGCACCCTCTTGGAGTCCATCCCTGCAGTGGCCTCCTTGTCCCTGCATTATCCTTGTGTGTCAGCTCGGGCCAACGGCGAGTCCCACAGCCAGGGCTGCAGCTGGTGCCCCCTAATGTCTGCAAGAGGCAGTGGGCTCTGGGGCTGAAGGGCACAGGCTCTAGGGCCAGAGGAATGGGGTTCACACCAACCATTCCCATCTGTGTGGCCCTGGGTAAGCCGCTTAACCTCTCTGTGCCTCAGGAAAATGGAGATAATAATAGCACTTGCCCCATGAGTTGCTTGTTGAAAGTTTAGTGAGTTCCTGCAAAGAATTTACAATGAGGGCTGGTCCATTCTAAGTCCTCAAGGAAAGACAACTGCCACTGTGTGTGCCATTCCCCTGGCCTAAAACGCTTTTCCAACCAGGCTCCGAGACTTCTCTATCCACCAGACTGGCTGTCTTCCCTCCGTTTCCTCTGACGTCTCTCACCCGGCAGTCTTCTCTCTACACCAAGATGGAAAACAACTTTAGTCTAACCGGGGCAGGGGGGCGGATATCAAACTCAGGACCTTGCGCTTGTGAGGCAGGCGGTGGCAACACTGAGCTAAATCCCCGGCCAGACAAGTTTAGTCTTATGTGTCAATCCCCCACATGGGTTGGTGAGGGCTACCTGGAGGGATGGGCTTTAGGTAACCAAGGCAGAGAGCTCTGGAATGCTGCAGTCAGTTGGTAATGTCTGCCATGGCAGAGGGCCTGCTGGGTGGCAAGTGCAGGCAAGCATGTGACATGTGACACTGCCTTATATTAAAGAATCTCAGTGGGGTTGGACTCGGGCTCCCCCCTTTCTCTGAGAGCCCAGCTCCTCCCCTGGAGTGACCTCAGACAGCAGGGGCTCACACCAGGCTCTGGATCAGCAATTGTGAGCCTAACTCAAGGCCCGAGAGAGGATCCTGGCTTCTTGCAGGACACAGAACCCACTGGGGTTGCCAGAGCCTCCATGTCCTGTGCCAAGGTCCAGCCCATCCCCCATGCAGCATCATGACCATCCGCACTGGGCTCATGGGGAGCCCTCACTTCTGACCGCACCCACAAAGCCAGCCCCGGTGTGCTGGGTTTCCACAGCTGACTGTCAGTGTGCCAGGCTGATGTAAGAACTTTATCTCTTAGTTAACTCCACAGCATCCCAGGAGACAGAGCCCAGCATTCATCCCGTCTACTGCTGTGGAGACTGACACCGAGGGCAGCCACACAGCTGGTGTCTGTCACCACCACACCCTCCTGCTACCCAGACACCTCTGTGAGCTAAATAAGGCAGAGATGGGCTGGTCCCCAGCACAGAGCCGTTCCCCCCTTTTGTCAGTCCTGAAACTGAGCCTTTGTCATACAGGAAGGGGCGGCTGAGTCCCATTAGCCAAGGACTCACTGAGGAGGAAGACACCGCCCCTGAGAGCACCTGTGAGTGGCTGGAAAGGGAAATCACTGAGCAGGTCCCTGAGTGCACCGCAGGATTCTCTCAGGCACCAACCACGGCGGGACAGGGTCAGAGTATCGCGGTCTGCTGCGGTGTGACAGTGGACCCGATCCATGCCGAGCTTCAGGGTTTTGTCACATCAACCTCCTCCCTGATCACCCACCCGAAGGAGACCACTGCTTCCGGCAGCCACTGCTCCCCGATCCCGTAGATCAGGGATGCACACCTTCTCCTCCTCGGTCCCTGTTGAACACTGCTGCAGGTGACATTCCCACTCCCAGCACCCCTGCACACTCCCTGGCCCCTTGCTGTGGAATCATTCCTTTCTTCTTCCCCAAACTGCACAGCCCCTCAAGGTCCCATTCAAGATGCCACTGCCTCCGCCCACAGACAACCCAGCTCTCAGCCCACGCTCCTGCACACTTTACGGCTCAGGCTTGAACTGGATCCGCCAGCCCAGGGATGGGCCGACTACGGCCCACAGCCAAGGTCAGCCGTCGGCCTGCTTTTATAAATAAAGCTTTATTGGAACACAGTCACCCACCTCATCCTGCACTCATACTGCATCAGCAGAGCTGAGAAGTCGCCAGAGCCACCAGGAAGGACAGGGCCTCTGCGCCCCCGCCTCCGTGGGAGGGCAGAGCGTCCCTTAGGTCAGTGCCGGTGGGCAGCAGGTGCAGAGGGCATTGCGTCCACACTGCCCGACCCCAGGGCTAAGTCACTTCTCTGCCTTCTGAGTCCTACTGTCTCCCTCCGTCAGCGTCCCTTTAAGTCTCCCAAGCCCCTGTGCACAGGTCAGAATGAGCTCGGCTCTGGGCTCCCCTGCATAAAACCTGTCCTCGCCACTCTGTCAAACTCCACTGCATTCCGGTCTAGCAAACACTCAGCCAGCGATTGGCGCGGATTTCCTGAGTCCACAGCCCACCCATCACCGCTCCCCTGACCCAGCAACGCCTCTTACCGAAGAGTGAACTGGTCCGCTGCGGAGCCGCTAGCCAGGGAGACCAGGAAGGTGGCCGCATCCCCTTCGCGGATGAGGTTCAGGGGGACAGAGAGGGCAACGTTGTCGTCCAGGCTCAGCAGGGACCAGCGCAGGTCGTCCTGCGTGGGGTAGACCACCACACTGCCGATGCGCTCGCGGGCCGGGGCCGCGGGCAGGGGCCCCTCGTGGCCCGCGTGGATGTTGTTCTCCCACTTGCCCTGGTCCTCCAGCGGGCACTCGCCAGCCTCGTCGGCCGGGTACAGGGAAAAGAAGAGCTCCATGGCAGTGCCCCCCAGCAGGGCCGGGATCTCCTCCTGCGGCTCCAGGTCCAGGCCCGAGCTGAACCACTCGGGCAGCAGCTCCAGCTCAGCCACGCACAGCCCCGGGGCGCCCTGCAACCTGCAGCTGGCCGCCACCTCCCTGGCCTCGGGGAAGGCGGACATCCTGACACAGGGGAGCTGCTCGCCGCCGCCGGGGTCCCCGTCGTCCCAGCCCATGCCGCTGACGTAGAACAGGGTCTGCACCTTGGGCCTGTTGGAGTAGATGGAGCTGTCGAGGATGTGGGACTTCAGCTTCCAATTGAAGGGGAACTTCTCCAGGCTCCCGAAGGGCGCAGACGTCAGCAGGAGCTCGGCAGGGACCACCTTCTCCGCCCAGAACGGGCCGTAGCTGGCATTGACGGTTGGGGGCGCCCGGGCTCGGTAGATGAACAGCGACTCGGCCCGGGCCTGCAGGCTGGAGTTCCTTGTGAGGTCCTGGTCAGCTTCCTTCAGGAAGAAGGCCTCGTCGGCGCCCGCGACGCGCAAGTCGGCGGGGAGGTAGGCAGGCAGCGAGGAGAACCTCTGAGCGCCGTCCCCGGTCACTGAGCGGGAGGAAGCAGAGGGAGAATAAACACCTGCCTTGGGCCACACCCGCCGCGCTGCAACCCGCCCGCCCCCGCCCTCCTGTCTCCCGCGGCCCAAGTCCGTCATTGCAGAAGGTGTGTCCTGCAGGGTCTCCAAATCCCCAGGGTGCAGGGCGCGGGGGCGCACACTATAACCCCACACTCAGGAGGCTGAGGCGGGAGGATGGCTGCAAGCTTGAGGTCAGCCTGGGCTACACAGTGAGAGCCTGCTCCAACCCCAAATAAAACCACAAACAAGAGCAAAACACCAGAGCAGGGAGTGAAGGAGCCCCATATGCCCTAGGACTGAGCACTGCCTGGATAGAGGGAAAGCATCACTGCCTCCCTCACGTTCTCACAAAGCCCCAACCTCAGGGGCTCCCAGTCCTCTCTGAGGTCCCCGCCCACCCAGCGGAGCTGCAGTCACCACCGCCCGCCCTGAAACGCGTCTCTCTGCTTTGCTGCTGTGCGGTTCCGCTCCTCTCCCTCGCTCCTCCCTGTGGCCCCCACGTGGACATCTAAACGACGCCTAATTACTGAGCAAGCTGAGGCTGTGGCTGAGCCTTCCAAGGGCCCAGTGAGATGCAGAGCGACCCACCACTGGCAGACAACCCAGAGAGTTGGCGCTGGACCCTGCCACGGCTTTGGATCCTGGAGCAAGTTGCTTAACCTTCCTGTATGGCCAGTGTCCTCACGGGAAGCAGGATTCGAGTATCGAAATGCTACTTAGTGGGGTGCTTGAAGTTTAAAGGGTTAATGAATAGGAAATGCTCAGAATATGTAGTGGGGCACACACAAATGTTCCATATTTACCTGCTGTATTATTTTAATCCATACTAAGAAGACCAAAAGGAGACTTAAGGTATACATTTGTACAGCAAAACGATAGACAGCTATAAAAAGAAAAGGAGCTGGGGTACTGAAATACAGTACTGTCACAGCTGTGGAGGATGCCCACAGCATGTCATTAAATGTAAAAAACACTCAGTGCATTGTGGAGACTGCATCCCCTGGAGTCCGTGGGTGGAACCATGGTGTTGCCCCTGGGGAGGTAGGGCGTGGGGGGGATGGAGCTCTGCCAAGTACTGCACCGAGCTCTCCAGAACCGTGAGCCGAACCTCTATTCTCTATAAACCACTCGGTCTCAGGTAATCTGTGATAGCAACAGAAAACAAGACAGTTGTATATGAGCCTATTTGGGTAAATGACGGAGCCAGCCGTCACTTGTCGAACAGTACCTGAATGGGGGAGTGAGGATGAAGAAAAAGAAAGACGCAGAAAGAAAGACGCAGAGATAGAGTCGGGAGCCTCTCAGAGAGAGAGAGACAGTGCCGCCACACTTTTCACTCTCTTCCTTTTATTCACCGGTGAGTTTGGTTATTAATCATGACCCTTACCCAAAGACACCTGCTTCCTTGTTCTCTAGTTCTTTGGAAGTTCCCCACCCTCATGGGCCTTCCCGTTTCTCGGGCTTACAAAACCTTCATCATGCTCCAGGACAATCTCCGAAGGTAAACATCTAATTTGGCAAGGACGCGGTTCCTCGTCACATCGTCTCCTTGCTCTACACAATGGAGGGTAAGATTTAACATGGAGCCTCTATGGCTAACACCGCTCTCCACAGGTAAAATGTCAAGATCCTATTTAAAGGTATGTGGATTTCTGTTTGTGGGTCACAAAGAAAAAGATTTTTGCTTTGGACCATTTATTGTCTACCTTCAGTGTGTTACAACAATAAGGTATTTTCTTGTTAACTGAAATATGTGATATACAGGTGGGCATAGTGGCACACACCTGTAATCCCAGCCACTGGGGAGGCCGAGGCAAGAGGATGGCAAGTTGCAGGACAGCCTGGGCAACGTAGCAAGACCTTGTTTCAAAATTTTAAAAAACAAATACATAGGGCTGGGGATGTAGCTCAGTGGCACCACACCTGCCTCGCAAGTGCAAGGTCTTGAGTTCAATCCCTGGTACCAAAAAAATAAATAAATACATAAAATGAAATAAAATAAAAAGGGCTGGAGATGTAGCTCAGGGTTCCTGGGTTCAAAAAGAGAAGTATTTAACTCATATGCACAACACAGAGATGCTGCCTGTGTTTCGTAGTCCGCGTGTCTTTCAAATGAGAAGACCCAGACAGCAAAGAGCCAGCCGGCTTTTCACATGGAGACGGCCCGCCAGGAGCCAGGACGGCAAACGAGGCCAGGCCCAGGCAGGGGTGTTTTCCTCTCGCCTGGAAATAAACCTCTGCCAGGGCCGCCTGATCTTCCGGCCCACACAAGGGCAATGGAACCCAACAGCAGCTTCCAAATTCGGCCTCGCTGGGGGCTGGAAAGGCAAACAGACACTGCTCCATGGACCCAGGCTGCCACCACCGAGGGTCAATCTGCATTCTGGCAATGCTGTGCAATACAGAAGCAACCTTCCGGTGAAATGTAAACGGGTATTTCATAGGTGTGGTTTCTTTCCCCCTCCCCAAACCAGGAAGTCCAATTCTAGGTGGATTCACCCGTGGCTTAATGGCAGCAGGACCACGGTTGTGGGGACATCCGCCTCCTACACTGTGTGACAGTGTCCTGCGGCAGACTCGTGGGCCACACGACCCACCAGGTTGGGCAGTGAGAGGTTCAGCTTTCACCTTCTCTTAAAATTTAGGCAAGGTCTAAAGTGAGGCTGAAGTCTGGATTTACTTACAGATGCAGAAAAGGAAAATGAAACAGACACACACTTCCATCGGCACTGAATTCACTGTGCATTGGCTCGCCCCTTTTTATCCTTTATGTGGCTATTTTACACCCCTCAAAAATTGATCTTCGGGAAACCTAAGGCTGCACCTCCTCTCTTTATTGTAACCAAAGCCTGTGTTTTATCCAAAACAGCAGTGTGAGGTTTATACTCCTGCCCCTCTGTAACTCACATGAAATGCAACACAAATCTTGTCTGAAAGCTTATATGAGGCGCCGTAAACATCAGCTTCCAGGGCCTCATTCTGTCCTCCAACCAGCCTGCAACAAACGTGACGTCTTCACCTAGCAGCAGCCTGCGAAGCCCAAGACTGCATCCCCAGAATGCTCGCCAATGGCCCGGGCAGCTCACTCTGCCCTCTCATCCCCAGGCGTCCTTGGGCCGCCATCCTCCTTCCCAGGGCAGCTGGACTGAGTGGCAGCCTGCTGGGCGGAAATGGGGCCCTCCTGGGGCTGTGGGTTCCTGGGGGCTTCCCCTGTTGACGGAAGGGGCTCCGAGAGCACGGATGGGAAACAGCTTCCCGTCCTCTCTGCACACTGCCTGAGAGGGTACAGGGAGCCGATGCTGACTCAGAACAGCCCTGCAGATGGCCCCAGGATGCCCCAAGAGAGCTGAGGGTTCATGACCTCCAGGGATGAAGCAGCTCACCGCGTTCTGGGACCCTGGCACGGCCCCTGTAGGTGTTCGGACGGCCCTGCTGCGCTTGACACAAACTAGATTCCAGACACGGGCCTTGGCCAGGACTCTCAGGGACCTGCAGCCTGGGACCCTGAGAGGCCAAGAACAGAGGCCTGGAAATCGCCCCTTTCGCCTCCATCACCAGGCCGGAAACTAACGCACCAGACCACGGCTGCTGTCGCCCCTAGGGCAGGGCTCAGGGCACTCCCCAGCTGAGTGGCTTCTCCAGTTCAGGCAGGAGCCCAGGTCTGCAGGGCCTCTTCCCAGCAGGCCACATCTCCAAGGGTGGCCCTGAGAAACCGTAGCACCCGACACACAGTCAGGGGCCAGGACCTGGGAGGCCTCTGCACGCGTTCACGTCAGCTCCGGGAGCCGCAGGGACGTCACTTCCGGGGCCGATTAGGGCTAGATGTTCCATGCCCCCCTCCACGGTTTCCCATCTGGCTCCACAGCTCCACCAGGCTGTGGGCAGTCTCCTCCTCACCTGTCACGCTGGCTCCTGCGTGGTTCTGGCCTCTGGACCTTGAAACCCAACCCCTCTTTTTCCCTGCAGCCCAGAGGCGCTAACAGCCCCTTGCTGCTCCTTCTGTCTGCACCGCTTTGCTGTGCCCCATGGTACCTGACCACGCAGTTCAGCTTCTCGGGTTTGCCATCACCTGTATAACTAGTTCCGTTTATTAAATTCTCCCTGTTGAAATAACTAGAGGGTGTCTGCTTTCTTGGCTAAAGCCTGGCTAACACAGCCAGTAACCAATCACTTCATCCTGGCATAGTCCTTCAAGGCCACCTTCACAGGCTGGAATTACCCTTTGTAGTTTTACTTGTTGATTTATTTCCTACTCATTCTTTCCACTAAAAGTCAGGCTCACTGAGAGCAGAGACTCTGAGGTCCAGCTTATTGCTGAATCTCCAGGGCCTAAAAGAAGTTCTCAAAATGTGCACTGAGTGGATGTCCATCAATTCCGACGGCTCTGCTGTAATGCCTGCGAGAATAAACCTCCCTCCCATGCTCCTCTGAGCCTCTCTCCAGCCTCCACTCGGGGCTGTTCATAGATAGCAATTTTATTAACATAGCATTTGCCCACCACTTTTCCCACCATTCATTTCCTTCTCAAATACCACATCACCGGGTCACAAAGCTGGCAGCTGGGTTTGCCAAGCCAGGAGATGCAGTTCTCATGTGGAGGAGAAAATATGCCAGCAAAGAAAACCTGAAATTCACAGGCCAGCACCCTGGCAGTATCTACCTGCTCTGTCAGCTAATTGCACAGCAGTTGTAAGATGAGTAGACCTAATCCCTCTCAAAAACAATGGAACAGCCATAGAGAGAAGCAGTTTGAACATGGTTTCTAAGTGAGGATTCGGCTGGTTCTGTCCAATTCCAAAGCCTTTCTGCTCATTCTGTCACCGAGGGCTGCCTGATCTGGAGGCAGAGGACTCAGCCATACAGACACCAGCTGCAGGAGCTGGAGTTCAACACACAGGATAGCCTGGCCACTAACCCTGATGGACCTACTTTCTGGACTAAGAAACACCTAGCATTTTAGTAAAGCACA